TTCCTCGACCACACTGACTAGTGTTATTTTACTTGCAACAATGTGAACCAAAAATTAATTTATATTCAGACTAAAAATCATAATATTTGTGTAATCTGAAAGACTTCTGATTTAACTGTTTTTATTGATTTTTAACTATAGTATTATAAAAATTGGTTTACCCGTGAGCTTGCCAGATGGGGAACTTCTTTTGTGGACATCTCTCCAACAGTTCCTGTAGAACTGATACACAGTACTCCATTATCATGTACATTTTCTGTTTCTCTTCATTGTACAACACATCCACAAGCTTAATCACATTTTTATGATTCAGTCTTCTCAATAGTTGGATTTCTCTATAATGATAAGAACCCAAGCCCAAAAACATTTGATTTTATCAATAAGAGACATAAATGTTATGATTACACATATACAATTATGATTATCTGCCTCTTCTATAACTTCTCCTGATTTAAAAGAAAAAAATAACTACATCACAGCTGAATATAGGTGTGATAATATGAGTTGTCATCATTCTCTGGTGTCGAAAACTTTTTGTGAAAATAAAAACACTTTAGAATATTCTTAAATAATCACAGGCCTAATAACAATGTCAGTGTTGTATGTTGTGTTTTTCTACACACAGAAACTTAGGCCTACATTTTTAATGGTAATACCTCTCTTACACTGTATGAAAAAAAAAAGGTTCAATAAAATATTTTCATCAGGTTTACATTTCTTTTAATTCATGATACTGCAAGAGAAACAACATATTTAACATCCTATTATTTAACAGCAGAACAGACTGTTTCTACCATGCATACTTGGCTGTAAGTAAAAAAAAAATGGTGGTATAATTTTATTGATAAAAGGGCAAAACAAATGATAATTAAATCAACACCTGAACATTATAGGCATAAGCCCTCAGTTTTTCAATTTAACATCATTTCAGTGACTGACTAATATATATTTCAGTCTGTTAAATTCAGAATATCTTCATTCTTAAATATCTGGTACAAAAATACATTTTGTTAACATCAGATTAATAGTAAACAGTTTTCATGAACAAGTAAATTAACAAGAATTAAATTAAAATGGAAAATTTGTATTTTGTTAAATATAGCCTTTATTACAGTATTCTTTGAGTTGTAATGTTGATTTTACATGAAGATATAGTTTAAAACAAAAGTGGATATATACATGATAGTAATATAGCTTATATTATTTAATTATTATTAAGAGCCAGTTTTTATAA